GGGATTCCATCCTGGGCGATTTCGCGTCCGAGATGGAATGGAGACAGGCAGAGTATGCGTCAACGCAGATGTGTCTACAGACTCTTGTGAGGCGGAGAGTGCGAAGCCGCTAAAGTGGGCGCTGGCTTACACCGAGAGTGCAGGTTCTGGCTCAAAAATGGCTGGGTTTGACGTGGCAGTGACACGCGAAAATAAAACCGGCAAAGTGGGAACAGTTGACGACGCTGCCGAGCGAGTCGGCACCGAAGTTTCCGAAAGTAGCGGTCAGGAAAACGAGTGAAAGGGAAGGAGTCATGGCTCTTTGAGAGAAGGTGATCTGGAGAATTGCGAACCCGACGACAACTCAATGGAACACGTCTGACCAAAGGAGACGGGACACAATGTGAAATCGGTCGATGAGCATAGTGAAGAGAAAGCTGTGGTAAAAGGCGAGGTTACGAGTGGAAAATTGATTGAAGTGGGGGAGTCAATGCGTGGAATTGGATAATGTTGCCGTTTCCTTCCAATTTTGAGTCGCCTAATTACATCCTTGCTGTCACACAGAAACGATACACGAAGCGTACTCACGATGGTTGGACGGGAGAGAAAAGATGTAACGATTGATCCGGGCGGGAATGAGAACGACACGAAGGGCTCTTTCGACGGATCTGACGATGATGAGTTGAGTTTTGACGAGGACGAGACTGCAGATGGTTCTCTGAGTAGTGGGGACAATGTCTCTGCGGGAGGACAGATGATGAAAGAAACCGTTCAAAGGCCAGATGACAATAACACGTACGAAACAAAAAGTACTTGGGCTGAATCGTGCCAAGAGATGACGGAAACCACGTGCAAACATAGAATGTCTACGGAAGTATGGGACGAACGTCAAAATCTGCAAGCGAGTAGCAGCTCAGAAGGTTCATTCAGGCCTTTCAAGCTATGCCAAACAGACGAAGAACGAGCTGGATTCGACGCCAGAAGGGAAGTGGGGCTTAAAGAAAAGAAGGTTGCCAACTCGCATTGATCGATGAAAAAAGTCTGGACTCATTCGGGGAAGCTGAGGTTGACCGGGGCTGGGTTAAATCTGAATGCGAGGTCCCCAAGCAGTGCTGGCGACCACCCGACGATAAGGTGACAAATGAAGACGGAGAAGGTGACTAGACGGTGCCGCAGCAGGACTACAGGCACCTCGTGCTCGAGGACAGATGGAAATGACAGTAGAAGACTTGAGGTGAGAGATCGGAAGTGTGAAGTTGCCGGATTGCAGTGAGTGAAACTGAAAACTCTTTCTCCCTCTCTACCTTACTAATCTCATCCGCGACATTTATAATTGCATTAGAAGTATCTCTACCAGTAGGACGGATAGAAACTGAGTGAAATTTTTGGTTGAACACTTTATAGTTTCGATAGAATGGTGGAGGCATTTCACAACGCCTTGAAAATCTTTCTTAGACTTTTAGTTGCTTCACTCAAGGAAGCAACCCTTGGTGCTAACATAGATAAATTGATTATGAAAGAGTCTACGGAAACTGAAGCCCACGGTTCGCTGCGTTGCAACACGTAAACGATGGTGCATATAAGTTGTGTCAAAAACTGGAGAGTCGTACAAGGCGGTGTAGTATAGCAGAAAAAGCGAAAATCTTGTTATCCAAAAAAAATTGTTGTTGAAAGAGGGATTAGATATTAGACAAAGAGTCGAGTTGAGGTGTTAGATTAGTAGATTTATATACCTTAGTAGAGAGACGGTAAAAAGAATTGTTTTTAGCATTGTTCGACAGAATAATATGCTAGAAATGAAGACTGTAGAATTGGCAATTATACTGTCTTACATGCTATAGTAACCTGAGCGTAAGATTGGTTCGTCAATAAGTTAAATAGTACAGCCAACAAAGGGTAAAGTTCGAAATAGTTCAATCTTCGAAGATATCGTCCCTCCTATGCCAAAAAACAAAATTTGACAAAATCGTCGAACCCCTTCCCTTCAAAATCGGAACTAAGAAAGCTAATATTATGCAAATCAGAGGAGCGATACTAGAGATGATTTGAACCGGGCATGCAAAAATCGGGACCCGTCAGACCCTTGGGGGGCAAGTGATAAATGTCCGCGGAAGTGTAAATGGCCATATCAGAACTCGGAAACTAGCGGCGGTATCGGGCTCAAATTCTAGTTTGTTGAAGGCCTAGTTAAGGGAAGCTTAAGTTTGGAACCCCAGATCCCTAAGACCCCCACTTCCGGTTTTATACCCTAAGTAAACAAACCCACCCCTAACTTCCGGAAGTCGTTTTTCGAGCACCGAGGAGCGCAGGGAGCTGAAACATGGAGTGATGATAGGTAGTGGCAAGATACATCTTGTATTATAGTTTGAATCAAATTCGGCGGTTGGACCGGAAGCTATTAGCAATTGGAAAAACACCCCCGTAGACCGGAAATAGGCAATTTACGCGAAATGATTTACAGTGGCATACGTATTTTTTTTGCGGCAATGGACAAAAAATACGGACCCCGAAAAAAGACCCCTAGTGAGTGAAAACCCTCCGGCGACTCCTTCCGGTGTGAAAAGCCTTTTTTCCGGAAAAAATGATGCTGGGCCTTAGAAATGGGATTACTTGTGAAGTATTAATGGGATATGAATGGAAATTGTTAGTTAGGACCCCCATAGGATCTTGAACCCAAATTTGGAAGTTTGACCTCAGAAGATTGACCTTAAGTTGACCTTTGGGCGTTTTGACCCCAAAATTGTTGGAAAGCCCCAAGATTAACACCGGAAAGTGGCGTATTTCCCAGCCCAACCCCTGGAAATGAGAATGAGTCACCTTGCTAAAAAACGGGAGGAAAACTTATATATTGGGAATTAGAGCAGAAGCCGATAGAGATACAGTCTTACATAGCAACCTTGGAGTTGTGGATTTAATTCAAAATGGACTTGGTAAACATTGGGTTCTGTTTAGCTTGGCGAATGATCTATTAATAAAAATTCGACTAGACTAAAGAAAAGTAGTCTCAAAGCAATCTGTTAGTAATAGGACCGCGGCATGAGATTTAAGTTTCTTAAAAAATATGAATGGATAGGGTTTTTTTTTCTTTGGCTTATCGATGGTGACTTTCTGGTTTGATTTGACCCCTTATAGACGAACTACGTTCCTTTGATAGCTAGAAAGTCGAGATTGGAATAGAGTACAGGTAAAAATTTGAAATGCTTGGAACGAATTAGCTACCAATGAAAAGGGTCTCCCCCTACCCTTGGGAGGTCGGACCATTAACGGGATAATTAAAATAAAGACCTTGGGAGGATTACCGAGTAAACATAGCATGGTTTGGAGGTTGAGTTGAACTCGAGAGCTGAAATTCACAGAGTTCAGGAGTTGGTTGATTAGAATCGTGTGACATTTGTTTGCTTGGTCAAATTGTAACAGCTACCGCATGCCGGTTATCTATTAAGTGTGAGAAGATTAATAAAAGAAAACGAAGTTGGCACGTGGCAGAGTTGACAGGAGGAGGGATATAATCTTAAAACATGTGCGGAGGGGTGATTTAGGCGGATGTCAGGACTGATAGGGAATAGCGTGACTTAGGTAAAACTAAGTGTAAAGAAAGATAAGGAATTGGAGGGTACCGGAGAGGCTTTAAGAGTCTGAACAGTTGTTGGCTACTATTAAGAGTAGTTGGTTCTCAATCAGAGAAGAGAACAGTTATTGCTAGTGAGCGAGTTGCGCTGGAACCCGAGTTTAGTACCGGGTTGAAATAGTTGTGCGAGCGAGTTCCGCTGGAACCCGAGTTAAGTACCGAGTTGAACTAGTTGTGTCGCTGCTCTGCTAGAGTAGGCGAGTTTTTAATCGAGTCAAGCAAAAACTGATGAGCGATTGAACGGAACGGGACACGGGCTTCAATATTGAAGCTGCTAAGTAGTAGTTAGCTCATTAAGGGCTCTGTAAATTGTTTTATTTCCTTTGCGATTGAGAATTTTTTCATTGTGCCCGCGATTTGCTGAACTAGCTAGAAGCGTAAAAGGAGAGCCGAAAAAAGCTGAAATTAAGGGGGAAATTGCGTAATCCTTTGATCGGCCGATTTAGTCTAACCACCAACATAACAATGTTGGACATGGCACAGAATTTTTGCAAATTTTCTACAAAATTTTTTCAAAAACCATCCAATTAAGAACTAAGAAGAAAAAGAATTATAATTGGTTATGATGCACTGTAATGGTTTTTTGGTTTTTAAAACAAACGATTTCATCAATTATCTTGACAAATTAATCAATATCAATATAAAAAAAGAATAAGTTCGATTACTACGGACGATAATGGAAATATAATTTTTTTCGAAAAAAAAAAGATTATAATGATGAAAAAAAATAATTTTTTGATCTGGATGGTACATCTGTTATGGGTTATAATGGATTATTTTTGTCGCGGAAGTCCATAATAACCTATCAAAATCCATGGTCCCTTGCTGTCGGTGCGTTATGAACAAAAAAATAGTTGTTGCAAACAAGTTTTTTTGGGAAATGATTGCTTAAGCATAAAATGAGTTTGAGAAAAAAAGAACGAACAATTAATCTATGATTTTGAAATAAGTACTGCAACTTAAAATAGTACTTCAAAATAAGTACTTCGAAGTAAAAATAATTGCATGTCATACGCCTTTACTATATAGAAACTGTATTATACAACTGTATATACAACAGTATATACAACTGATACTATACACCCATATAATATACATATATGAAAATAAATAACCCTTTCACCATAAAATAGTTACAGATAAAATTAGATAACCGTCGAATCAGTCAATTAATTTTCAAATTTGCCTTTTTCTCGCCAAATAGTTTTCTACGTTTTTTCGAGTTTTCATTCAATTCTACAGTTTTTTTTCGAGATGACGGCTTGTAAAAATAGCTCTTTAGACTCACATTTTTACGAACTTGGCCGACATTTACACCATCATAAATTTAATTGGCCACCAAAAAATGAGCTTGGTTTTCGTGGCTTTAAAAAAGTTTTTTTTTCTGTTTCAGCAATTCTACAGATGTTAGATGAGGCTTCAGCTAGTAGACACTCTGATTGCTACAAAGAAATTGTCAAACAAGTGTCAAATGTAAGTGAAAGCATCACAAATCGAACTACGGAATAGATTTAGGTTTTGCAAATGTTTTTTTTCTCCTAGATTTCAGAGCTGCTTCCCGGTAAAGCTTCCGACTATGAAGACATCATCTCAAACGATATTTACAGGTATTTTAGAGTCTCTCGTGGCCAATTTTTTTATGAACAGACACAGACACAACCAATTATAACAAAAAACTCGGTTTTATAAATTTGTTTCACCTAACCTATAATCTGCGCAGTACGTTTTTCGAAAATTCTTTTTGAGCTGTTTGCGCACCATTCAAATGATATTTGCACAATATGCAAACCCCAGTCTTAAATTGCATAGCCGCGAGCAGATTTTAAGTCTCGAAAGTCTGGGCAACATTTTTTCGGACGATAATCTAGTTCAATCAAATCGTGTTTGCGAAAAGTTGGACACATAAGGTGGACACTGACCAAGGTTTTTGGAACCTGATCTAAACTACATTTTATGATTGGATAAATTAGATATTTTACCAATGTAAAGTATTTAATATTAACCAATCATGATCCATCTAACTAACAATCCACTTATTTGTAAGTGCTGAAATTACTTGTAATTTCAGCACCAGAGAGATTTGAATTTAACTTAGAAATTAGTTGAACTCTCCCGAGTACTTCAGCAGCCGCAATAAACCAGTATACCCTAGATCTATTGAGCCTAGCAGAGACTAGTTAAACAACCTGAGACTAGATAGTATAAGAGTAAGATTAGGATCGGTATTAGACTAAGAAGTTGCACGAATCTATCCGGCCGAAAATAAGATAGCGTGACGAGCAGACGGTGTACCCTATCCGAAATTACTCTATGAGTTATACCCATCGATTATAACTCATTTTACTGATCATAACTTTTTGATTGTTGATAAGAGACAGGAATTTAAAGAAATTTTAAGTCAGTTTAAGCATTTTATGTCGTTTTTACAAGTAGAAGCCTTAGAAGATTTTCAAGCAAAAATTTATTGAAAAGTGATTAACAATTTAAAAATTGGATCATTTAATTTTTCAGCTTCCTTACAATAAATTCGTTTTCATGAAGGAAACCTCCTTGATTATTATTTGCACAATTCAACATTAAAAAAAGTCCGATCTTGGAAGAATGGCCAGTTAGCTGCCAATTGAGCAGTCTTGAATTCATTGACACTTTTTTCAATTGTCTGTTGACTATGTTTGTGTTTGGTTGAATGTAGAGGTTACGTGGGCTATGGCGTGGCTGCCTTGCTGCTGCTTCTGGCAATCTGTCTCACTCTGGCTGTGTGTTGTGGTGTGTGTGGCTATGACGGAGAGGCCACACCCGCCCAGAGGACCAACATCTCACACTGTGGCGGCATCACTCTCATTCTGTAAGCCTAACTAATTTGTTCTCCACTTTTTTAGGTTCTCTATAAGGCAAAGCTACTTGTTGGGCTGCAAATTCTTACACAATTCCGGATCGAGGTGCTCAATTTATTTCGACTTTCAATGTCGTGCACATGTCAGTGCTACACCAAAAAAGAATAGTCGAGACAGGGGTTTGGTTCGAGCACAAATTCGAAACATAACTCGAGAATACACTCCTGATAGATTATACTTTCCTGAATGTAATGTTTTTGCATTAAGTTCAAATAATTTACACCACTAAAACAACCTTGCTAGCATGGATTGGCTGATGTTTTTTCCCGCCCGATTCTTACTACCTCAAAGAAAGCTAGTAAGGGGTGCTTTTTCTGTCCGATACGAGGTACTCCACTTTTTCACAGTTTTTTCAGTAAAAAATCACGCATTATTGTGATCGGTTTGGCTTTTTGACCAACCATTTTTCAGGAGATTTTTTTGTCATCTGAAAGATATCGGGGTTCTGAGATGAAGATTTAAAAAAATAAGGCAGAAATGGGGTTATAGGGATATAAAAACTGCCGGAGTATTTTATCATAATAACTGACAAATACGCTGAGTATTTTATCTTAATAACGCGTAAGCCGCGAATTGTTCCGGCTCTGAAATCATTACAAATTGGGTTAAGCGCACCATTTGGCTGTATCAGCACGTTACCAGACGCAAAACTAACTAATCTGTACTCTAATTTTTCTTGCTTCGGAAAGTTTTTTTGTTATTTTTTAAACCATGAACTATTTAATAGACAATATATAGTAGTCACAACTTTTAGGGCCCCACATTGTTTCCAGCTTCCTCTTGAATCTATATCTAAACAAGACTGCTCGTATCAGGGCGAAGCCCTGAATGTTCCGACTGCCTTTTAAGGTTTATGGAGCAGTAATAACATTAAAAAATTCAATGAAATAAAACAAAAAATTTTTTTTTTCAAAACTGTGAAATTTTCTAATGAAAATCATCCCCCCACACGCTATATAAAGTACATACAAAAGGATAGATTTCGCTCCTTGTAACAAACCAATTATGGCAAATAAGCTTCTTTTAACTAATTTGGAACGATTTCTAAGACGGATTAACTCTCCGCTTACGCGTTAATAGCGCGAAATATATCGCGCGTTAATTGTCCCAAATCGGTCAAATAGGCCAAAATGGCAATCTTTAAACCCTCATAACTTTACGAAAAATGATCACAGGTGAAATATCTTTTCAAATTTAAGCTCAGGACAACAATAGCTTTCGAAAGATATAAGAAAATTCCGTCAAAAATGGCTAGTTAAAAAGTCGAAGTTTGTCTGAAGAAAAAAAAACCCACCCCGAGCCCAAATATTCCGTTACTTTCGTATCGAAAGTCGGAACAAAAAGCTGCTTCTATATCAGGTAAAATCTCTCATTGCTTGAACTGCACTCAATTGCAAATTTTAAGGAAAATTGGTTCAAAAGAAATAAGCTAACATTGTTTCTTCCTTTTATCACTCCCCATGCTATGATAAGTAAAAACAGATTTTAGCGTGTCGTGTCCTAATAGTACGATCACTTGACTGGCCTCAATTCAATTTTGACCGATTGAACGCGCCGAATAACTTGTGTTTTAAGAGCGCAATATATCGCGCGTTAAATCAACTTTTTGAAGCAGCTTTTTGAAACCCCCTTAGTTTAAAGCCAAATCAGCATTTTCAAATCCACTTACTTCAAAAAAAATGATCCTAAATGGTTTTTTAAAATTATTTTGAGCTCTCAGCAACAAAAATTTTCAGATGATATCTAAAAAGTTTCGTCGAAAACACTTAGTAATAGAAAGTTTGACCAGATAAAAAACCACCTGAAAGATAAGAATAGATATTGCGTCACTTCAAAAGTTGAAACCTTTAATTTGCTCTTTACGACGGCAAGGGCCTCATTCAAAAAATATACAATGTCTGGATAAGTTGGCTAATGTGCAAGTAGCATAGAATGTTCCGGCTCCGGTTATCATTGCAAACAGAACGAATCAAAACCAAAATCATGTTTTTTTCAGAAAATTACAAAAAAACAAACCATCAAGACTGTTCGTATATTAAAGACCAGTTGTTAGCATAAAATTTCATAAAAAAAGACAAAAGTGTTGAACAATATCAAAGATCATTAATTAATACGACCGATTAAAAGTTCAGTTTGAAACAGTTTTGTGGTGCCTTGATAATTCGAAACGCATAATAAATCGCTGTACGTGTTCAGGATGACAATAAAAATCTTCACTGCGCTCGTAAATTAGTCCAGAGCATTGCCATATTGACACTTTTCAATCCACAAATTTCCAAAAAAATAATAGAATTTTTTTTCATAATTGAACTCAAAGAAGTTTGCATCTTTTATGGAGTATAAACATTTTGCTAAAAACGACGATGATTTCGATCACAGAAATTTGACTGAATACGAAAACCACCCCAAGCAAAAATATTCCGCATGTTTTTTTGAAAGTCGTAACAAAATATCTGGAAAAAGTATAACAGGAGGAAACATGCAATGAGGCAAAAATATATACTGTTAGAAACATCTGCCGTCAGGGGTCTTTTGCTCCTAGATTTTCAAAAAAATTCATAATAATTAAGTTTCAAAATGCATTTTTTTTCAGTTCGCAGACGGCTTTTCTTCTAACAAAACATTATGGTTCTCCAAAAAAGAGGCTGACCATGGGCAGAATTGTTTATTGTTCCGACCACTGGAGGGAGTTCGTATTCGGATGGGTTTTAGTTTTTCTCTTTCTTTTTTTTTGTTTTCCACGCAATGTCAGGCAGCACAAAAAATTATCGGAACGGATCGAGTGATATATCAACTTTATGTCTTTTCAGTTGTGATTCAAACTATATTAAAAATTGTCCAAACATTATTTGTAATTTGGAGAAAAACCGGTTTGAAACTGCCTTTTTTTGTCTAATTTTGAGCGAGTACAGCATGTTTATTAAACTTTAAATGAAACCATTTACAATAGCTTTCTTGACAATTTTAGTTTTAAGCATAATCGATTTTGATAAACGCCATTTTGAAAAGCAAAAACTTCAAAAGCTCAAAAAAACATCTGCAAAAACTGATTGAAGTGTTTTTTTGATTTTTTGATTTTTTTCTCTTCAATTTTCTTCAAAAACTGTTGTCCAATTTGCCTGTTTTACTATGAGTGTCGAATATGCCTTATTTGTAGTTTTTGTCCAGATCCTTTTATCACAGCACTGAAAAACTCACTAATTTGAAAGAAAAAAACTGCGTGTTCTTAAGACTATGACTGCAACATTTTGGGCTACTTGCGCAGTAACCAGCTGTTTTTTTAAATGAATACTCCTGAATACTGTAACCATGATGATGCATTTAAAAAATTTATTTATGTTTTATTATTTTTTTCAAGAATTGGCTTACGTTTAGAGAAAAATTTATTCGTGTTGAAATCAGATTGCTTTGAAAATAAATAGTCAGAAATTCATACGCCTACAAAACTCCGCACAACAGTCAAATTAGACGTCTACACAACCTTGCCATCAAACAGTATTCGATATCGTGGTTTTTTCTCCGAAATCGCACAAATATTTCTATCAATATTTTTTCGTTTCAGGGTCACCGTTTTACTTTTCCTGACCTTCTCTCTCCTGATGCTGCTCGGACTCTCCGGCCTGATTAGTGGGGGAAACTTCCGACTGATGATGTGTGAGGATGAGTCATACAGGTTCCTGGAAAAAGTTGTGGACGTCAGAGACACAGTGCCTGGCTACCCTGGAAACTTTGCTACCTCTGTGTTGTATGGACAGCCAGATAACGATGAAGTGAAATTGGCACAGCTCATCAGGTAAGGATGGTGTTCTGACTTTGGGGTTGGGAAAAAAACTGATTAATATATCTTTACACGCGAAGCTTCAAAAGCAAATTACTATATTTCTTTGAATTGAAAGCTCCCCCCGAGCATATTTTAGATTCGCCCCTGATAATGTTGCTTTTCAAAGTTTCAAACTTTGTTCTAATGTTTTTCAAATTAACTAATACTTCAACTAGCACAATTTTCGATGGTTTTTGTGAAAATATTTAGTTTGTTTGTTTTTTGATCCAAAAATATTTCTGAACTTGAATTGTTTCATTATTTAATTCTTTCAATTAGCCTTCTAAATAATTTTGTTCCTATGTGTTGACAGAGAGTGCAAGAAAGGCGATGGGTCGGCAACCGTGGGACTCAAGTTCGACCAATACCTCAAGCCTCCTCTTCTCAAGTGTCTCTCATACGATTCGGTAAAAATATGGGATCCCTGTTATTACTTTCCACCTTGTGCAATGGGGGGGGGGGGGGGGGGGAGGCATTTGTTAATTTGTTACTAGTTACAAAATTCTAATATGTTTAACAGATGGGAATTATTTATTTGTAGGGGTGGCAACATGTTACGAGGTACCAAAGGGGGTAGTTAAAGAGATCCAACTTAAAGGTTGCTAAAAAGTCTGAGAAGCCAACTCTGCTACCCAATGCGCTTGATATTATCTCGAAACATCTGACACGCATCCATTTTGGACTAAGATTGCTATTATATTTCCCAAATCGGGGATCGAACGCGCGTAAAAACCGGCAAACAGTGTCAATTTTTGCGCTCAAACGTTCCGAAATGTGCAAGAAGCTACATTTGTGTTCAATAAAATTTTCTTTTCTAATAAAGTAATCCCCGGTTCCTAAAATCTAAAAGCAGCCCTGCCTCATTTTTTTGTTGATTACAATAGTTATAAAAGCAGTGTGCTATTTACTTTTTAATTAATTAAGCCTACGGCCTGTTTGCAGTGAGAGATTTAAAACACGTCGGATCCTCAATTAGATGTCGTATTTTTAAGCATGATGTTGGCGGTTCTGTTTCAGGAGTTGGGCCGGAAACTGAACAATGAGTTGCAGGAAATAGAGTTGGATATCAAGACTGATGATTTGCTTCCAACTCTCCAGGAAGTAGATGATATCACTGGTGTATATTCTGATCTGCTGCAGGATGTCGACAAAGAAGCTCAGGCGTTCCTCGACAAACTAGTTCGTGCATTTTTATCAACTATATTTTGAAAGTATTTTCAAATTTTCATGTAATTGTAAAGCTTTTGAACAATCCGAGTAATGATTCGTGGTTTTTGAAAGTTTTTATATATTTTTGACACGAGCGAAGCAAACCTTTGTGCAAACTTGAAACTTGCATCTTGGGTTACTTGTAAGTACATATTTTATGCAGGAGAAGTTCAAGGATTTTCTCGACTAATTTTCAAAAAAAAATCGAAAAGTTTGTCGACCTTTTTTTAAGTCGGCCAAATTGACTTTCCGAGCTCTCTGTCAAAACACTATAACGACCCTTTTTTGATAAACTATCTGCGCCAACAGGCGAACTTTTGAATATTTACATACAGCACAAGGATATCATGCTCTTCATGTGAGGTCCCATTTTTTTTGGTGCGTTGAAAGGTTATGAAAAAACTCTTAGTTCATTGCGAGTCATTTATTTAACTAAATGTCTAAGAACAGGGGTGGATTTGAGGGGGGGGGGGGTTGGTATTTTGACGCCCCTTTCCTTTTTTCAGGGATTTGACCCCCTGCCGACCCAAAGGGTCCCCCCTTTGGTACTTTTTAAGAAATCCATTATTGGCCGACCTTCGGTGTGCTCGCTAATCTCCAAAAAAAACTGTTCCAAATCCGTAAATTAGTAAGAGATATTTCTCGGCAAATAACTCGGTCAATAAAATAATTTCGGCATTTTTCTATTGATCAGAACATCATATAACATTTTTTGCATCTGTGCGTTTTTTGTACAAAACGGCGCAAGCTAGCCACAAGAACCGGTCGGTAATGTCCTTGAGACAAATTGCTCTTTTTGGCGGTCAACCTTAATCAAGGCTGAACCGAATTAGAACCAAAAAACAGTTAAAATAGGATGTAACCCCCGTTTTTAGTATACTAATACATGGGCAGGTGGGGGACTCGAACCTACGTCAACTGTTAACCTGTATAATCGGCGTTAGCTTAGGCCACTCGGCCAACTGTGCTTATTGTTGTTACATTTTGGTTCAGTTTTATATGCATCTATACTCTACATTCTATACTCTACATTTGCATTGCAACATCCTCCCCCCCTGAAGAAGGAAGAACCGGAGCGAGCTTAACGGTCGGCCGCGTGACTTCACGGGTTGCGGTCCTGACAAGGGCGGATCGGGCGCAACCGTCCTGTCCGTAGTTTAGCTTGACGATTCGGGCGAGAGGGTAGTACCCACGCGGACTATCGGGCTCAATCACCCACACGAGATCGCCTGTTTTAAGAGTGAAGTCAGAATGAGTGTGCCACTTGACACGCTTATTCAGCGAGGGAACATATTCTCGAAGCCAACGAGACCAAATCGCGTTAGCATATGACTGCGCTCGCACGTACCTTTTCTTGTGATCGAAGTGCTCCCCGGGTAAAAGCGAAGGAAAGCTTGTGGCATGTTGTCCAAGCAAAAAATGGTTTGGGGTTAACGCTTCTAACTCACGTGAATCGGTACTAACGGGAGTGATTGGCCTCGAATTCAAAGCCTGTTCAACTAAGCAGAGTGTTGTTCCTAACACCTCTTCAGTGACTCGCCTACTGCCTAGGATATCGTACAGCACGCGCTTCACGCTTCGGACGAGGCGTTCCCAGGAGCCGCCATGATGGGGTGCGCCTGGCGGGTTAAATTTCCAAGTAACACCTTTGTGTGCAAAAATGGTCGGAGCCATGCCATTCCAGCTCTTGATGCAGGCAAGTAATTCCTTTTCCGCACCAACGAAGTTCGTGCCATTATCCGACCAGATTGTGCTTGGCGTACCACGGCGCGCAACGAACCGTTCAATGCCCATGACACACGAACTGGTGTCCAGAGACGGTACAATCTCAAGGTGTACAGCCCTGGTGGTGAGGCAAGTAAAAAGGAATCCCCATCTTTTTTCCGTGCTTCTGCGAACCGGAACGTAAAGCGGTCCAAAGTAATCCACACCCGTATGATTGAAGGGTGGTTGCTTGTATCCGAGACGTTCGACCGGTAAATCGGACATAATTGGCTGGATGGTACTTGCTTTGCGTTTACGGCATGTCACACATTGATTTTCGACAGACCGAAGTAGTCGACGCAACCCAAGTATTGCAAATTTCATATTTAAAACGGAGCGCATGTAATCTAATCCTTGATGAAAATGCTTATGGTGGAGGCTGCGGGCCAACAAACGAACTAAGGTATGTCGGGCATCGAGTATTATTGGGTGCTTAGTATCAAACTCGGTATCCACTAAGCGCACAATCCGTCCGGTGGAACGAATGATTCCAGCGGGACCAATAAATGGCGAGTATGTGGCAATTTTACTACTATTCTTAATAGGTTTGCCAGCGGTGAGTGTTTTTAACTCAACGGGAAAGGATTCCATCTGAGCAAGATGAATCAGTTTGCTTTCTGCAATATCAAGTTCAGTGGGGTCGGTGATTCGTAAGTCTTTACCACGAAAATGCTTATGTGAAGGCAACACCCTCAACATAAAAGCGACTACTCGTTTATATCTTGTAAAGGAACTGAACCTTTCCCAATTGAACCCGTGTTCGGGATGTTTTATTGATGTGACATCGGTGACGAAGGAAGATGATGTCTCCAAGCGATTATCAACATCACAAGAAGGACCCTTCAAACGAATTTTATTGATTACACGTTCGTCGGGTAAAAACGGCCAATCAGTAGTCCTGAGAATGCTCGGACCAATAACCCAGCTGCTATCCTTGAGGGCTTCCGAAGAAATCCCCCGCGTACCGGTATCAGCTGGATTATCGCCGCTCAGAACATGGTGCCACTCATCAATAGTGGTCGACTCGAGGATTTCGCCGACACGATTAGCGACGAATACAGGTAATTTTTCAGTGGAGTTTAGCCACTGCAAAACTGTTGTACTATCTGTCCACATAAAGACATGATTAATAGAGACGGTAAGGGCGGTCAGTATATCATCTTTTAGTCGTGTGGCGAGCAGAGCAGCTTGAAGCTCTAGCTTCGGTATCGATAGCGCTTTCATGGGCGCAACGCGAGCTTTACCAAAGATGAAGGATATTTGAGTTTTATGCGAGCTCGCGAGTCGCGCACGCAAAAAACCAACAGCACAGAAAACGTCCTGCGAGCTATCACCGAACATGTGGAGCTCAATTTGATCAACAGGCTCTGTGAAGTAACAACGGGGAATAGTCAATTGCCCTAAGAGAGGGAGACCGGAGTGCCACTCGAGAAACTTATCTCTTATGTCTTCTGGCAATTCGTCGTCCCAACTTTGACCACTGATTTTCCAAATATCTTTCAGTAAAAGACGGGCCCTAACTGTGTATGGAGCTACTAACCCAACAGGGTCAAACACAGAAGAGACGAAACTCAAGACGGTTCGTTGAGTTATTGCTTTATCGAGAGGACGATCCACGCCTCTGCTAACAACCAATGTGTCTTTCACATGGTCCCACTTAAGACCTAAGACGTGTGATGATCGTTCGGCACCGTTACATATTTCCTTGATGGGTGAAGATGAGGTTTCGGATTCCTCGGGGTTCATTGCTGAAGTGATTTCATCAGCATTACTGACAAATTTAGTCAAATTAAATCCTCCCAATTTTAGTAAGGAAACCAAATCGCGACTAGTTTTAATTGCTTGGGTAACGTTCTCGAATGAATCCAAGTAATCGTCCATGTAAAACTTTTCATTTACGACTGAGGCGGCCTCAGGGTATGTGGACATATTATCAGTTGCTGTTTTTTGCAACGCGAAATTGGCGCACGTAGGTGAATCCCGTGCGCCGAATATATGGCGAGTGTACTGATGAACTACCACATCGGAAGTGGTATCCTCCCGCCACAAAAAACGGAGCGAAATTTGATCGCGGGCAAGGACTCCTACCTGGAGGAACATACCCTCTATATCCGCGGAGACGGCGTACTTATGTTGACGGAATCGCAAAAGCACAAAAATTAAATTTTGGAGTAGGTCAGGACCCACCAATAAGGACTTATTTAAGGATGTGCCGTGAAACTTAGAAGCCCCATTAAGGACTCGGCGCACCTTACCCGGCTTATTCGGATTTACGACGGGATGGTGCGGAAGATACCACTCGCGATCGGAACGCTTACGTGGATCATGCGGTTCGACGGTAACGACATAGCCTTTCCTAATGTCCTCTCTAATTGTTTCTGCGTATCTTTCGCGCAGCTCAGGGTCTTTACTTAACCTTCTCTCCAATGATTTAAATTGGGCGAGTGACGAGTAATAATTGTTTGGTAGACTGACATTACTATCAATCCAAAGCATAGGCACAATGTATCTTTCGCCATTGTGAACGGTTTCAGAATTGAGGATGGATAAAGCATGTTTATCCGCGGCGGAACGGGCATCGACTTGTTTGAAAGCACCATACGATTCCAACTCGTACCAGGATTTTATCTGGTCGGTCAGAGAAGAATCTTCAACAACACACTTGAAACACGAAGAAGTAGAATTACCGGACGGCGGCAACGGACCACTTAAGACCCAACCTATCGGTAGGCGAACGGAACACGGTGAGTTTTTATCATCTCCCAAGATGAACTCAATGGGTCTAACGGCGTGGTAGTAGTCTTGTCCGATAATAATTTCAACGTCCTCATAAGTATATTGAATGGGCTTAATAGGTGCTAATTGTGGATATTTATTCTGCAAATCAGCAATATTGATTAATTCGGAACCAATCCGAATACTGTCTTTAACATATGCACAGAGAGAAAATACGAAATCACTATTATTCGGCTCGGAGGAAACTGTAAACTTGACTCTCTGAGTCTCAACAACGGTGGTCGAATTGAAACCACTAATTGACAAGTTAACGGGCTCCCCTACTAAGCCGAGACGCTTTACGAGTGACGAAGACACCCAGGAGTGAGTCGATGCACTATCACAAAGAACCAACGTCAGGAGACTGGTTACATCCGAGGATACACCAAGTGTTGCAATTGGCAACAACCCTTTAGAAGATTCAATGTCAA